AAATGCACCAGCCGGGAATTGAACCCGGGTCTGTACCGTGGCAGGGTACTATTCTACCACTAAACCACTGGTGCTTCATGTCTCCTAAAAGAAAAGTCACAAATTTATATCATCGATGAGATAGCTTCCCTGTTAGTTTGTCTTATCAAGGTCTTTCCTTCATCAGATTGGGAAGGGAATTCATCGGATTTTATTTCCCGGAGAGAATTTTCACCGGTGAATGATTCGAAACGAAGCATCACACAGATTCGTAATTATCTGAGAGTGATTTTCTTGAAATTCAAACGAAACCCTCGATTGCTTTCGGATTTCTTCCGGTAAAACCCCCAAAAATTGGGGGAAAGTTGATGAGCGATGAGGAAAGAAGAGATTCCAGAAAAGACTCGGACTTTCCCGGTCGATCCAAATCTTCCGAAATGGGTCTGCCAAAACTGTCACCACTCCCTTACCATAGTCGGCGTCGATTCCTACGCCGGAAAGTTCTTCAATGATTCTCCTCATTCCGGTTAGAGCTTCTTCCTCTCTCTCTCGCTTCCTGTTTTGTTTCAGTCTCTCAGAGAGCTTGAAGGTCTTTTGGTGATCTCTCTTGTTTGTTTGGGAATTAAATTAGAACTTGGAAATTTTGATATCGGTTAGAGGATCAACAATTCAATGGATTTATGTTTGGTAATCGGATTCTTGTTAACTCATATAGACGAGAATTTGCTTTTTTAAGTCTCTAACACGAATCTCAGAGTAAAAATCTCTCACAATGAATGTTTTATTGTTACATCCAGCTATGCAGGGCTCATCCATCCATGGAGCCAACAGTGTTCTTGGTTCAACACGTATGGACAACTCTTTCGTTGTTTTACCTCGACAGAAGCCTCAAGCTCAGGGCATTCCTCCACGTCCTCGTGGTGCTTCTGCTCAGCCTGAAGCAAGCCAATCTGGAAAGGCAATGGACGAATCGTTTGTAGTAGTGTATAAGTCTGAGTCAGCTTCTGATTCAAGCGGTTCTCAAACTCCGTCGCATGAAGTGGGCCAAAATGGTCCATTACATTCAAATAATTCTGGTTTTAATGCGACTATTAGTGTCTTAACACGAGCTTTTGATATTGCCAGAACTCAGACACAGGTATGATTCTGTAACGTTTTGGCTCTTCGCTAAAGACTATATATCCGCTGGATAGTTTGGACCTGATAATATGTTTTACTTTCCGCTGTTTTGAGTCCCTTAGGTTGAACAGCCATTGTGCCTTGAATGCATGAGGATATTGTCTGATAAACTTGAAAAAGAAGTCGAGGATGTGACGAGGGATGTGGAAGCATACGAAGCATGCGTACAGAGATTAGAAGGAGAGACACAAGATGTTCTTAGTGAAGCTGATTTTCTGAAGGAAAAAAGGAAGGTGATTTTTCAGCTGTTAGCATATATTGTTTGACTCTAATATGAACTGCATATAATGGAATGTAACAAGTTTGTTGTTGGTTACTGTTCTACTTAGATTGAAGAAGAAGAGAGAAAACTTGTTGCAGCTATAGAAGAAACAGAGAAACAAAATGCTGAGGTAAACCATCAACTGAAGGAGCTAGAGGCGAAGGGAAATCGCTTTAACGAACTGGAAGATCGGTAAAGCCCTCTCACTGTTCCCCTATTGGCAAAGGATACCTCTTCAATGTTATCACTTAATTTCTCACATGCTTCTTCAACTTTTCTGGTTTCCTTTGTTATAGGTATTGGCAAGAGTTCAATAATTTTCAGTTTCAACTAATTGCCCATCAGGTACGTTGCTGGTGATAGTCTTAGGTTTTTCTCTCATTTCACTAAATGATTTGTTGAGGAGTCCAAATCATTTATTCGTTTTCTTCACAAATTCTCGCTAATAGTTATCTCTCACTGTGGTATTAGTTTTAATAGCTGTTGATCAGGTTTATGTAGTATTAGTGTAAAAGATCTGTTTTCGTTAACAGGAAGAGAGAGATGCAATCTTGGCAAAGATTGAAGTTTCACAAGCACATTTAGAGTTACTAAATAAGACAAACGTACTGATTGATGCCTTCCCCATACGATATGATGGAGATTTTGGTACAATCAACAATTTCCGACTTGGAAGACTCCCTAAAGTACCGGTAAGTTTTGCAAATTCCTTGTATGTGTATAACCTCTTCCTGCTCAATAAAATTCTAAGGTCACATCACATGAAACATTATTAGGTTGAGTGGGATGAGATAAATGCTGCTTGGGGCCAAGCCTGTCTTCTTCTCCACACGATGTGTAACTATTTCCGGCCAAAGTTTCAGTATCCTTGTTACTATCTCACAATCCTTTTCCTTCATTTTTTATACTGTTGACTGTTTATGAAGTTTATCCTTAACCCTTTTTAAGATGTCGAGTTAAAATACAGCCTATGGGAAGTTATCCTAGAATTGTGGACAGCACCAATAACACTTATGAGCTGTAAGTAATTCCCAATGCTTCAATGGCATATTGTACTACTGGTTTGTTTTTTTGGGAGTTGAACATAAAATGTGAAATCTTTTGGTGAGTTTTTTTACTAAAATCTGTTTGATGATCTTCTCCAGGTTTGGTCCTGTAAATTTGTTTTGGAGCACTCGGTACGATAAAGCTATGACATTGTATTTGATATGTCTGAAAGACTTTGCCGATTTCGCCAACTCAAAGGACCAAGAGAACAATATTCCACTAGAGAAATGCCTCAAACTTCCATTCAAGTAAGTCCCCGCTCTTCTAAAAACCATTCAAGTACAACCCAAAAACCTTTGAGTTTCTCTTATAAGAATCTTCTTTTGCAGGATCGATAATGACAAAGTGGAGACATATTCAATAACTCAGAGCTTCAACAAGCAAGAGAATTGGACCAAAGCACTAAAGTATACTCTCTGCAACCTCAAATGGGCTCTCTATTGGTTCGTTGGGAACACCAATTTCCAACCTCTCTCTGCAACGGTCTCTTTGCCTTCTGATGTATCAGCGGCCGGTTCCCTGTACGCCAAGCGAGGTCCTGATTCTAATAAGCCCTCTGGTAAAAACCTAAGAAACTCGTGAGAGATTGAACTGATTAATATCAGGGACTCGTGTGTATAGTTTTAAGCATATATGTCATATAAACATTCGAATAATAAGAAGAAACACAGATGCTTATAACTTAATTTGTACAGCCTCTTTTTCGTTTTGTGTTATTATAACCCTTTTAGTTTGTGATTTTCTAGCTGTGGAAGGAAGGTTTCGTCTACACAAAAATCACAATATAATACGAGTCGGTGTCATATTGATTTTTTTCCATAAAACTTCAGTTATAATAACATTTGTGGTTGAAACAAACCACTAAACTCTTTAAGCCATGTACCCAAAATGAAACTACACAAACAGCTTGAATTTGTATCTCGCGTTATTTTATTCCTCTAAAATTTCTGACAACTAAAGGACTGAATTTGACGACAGAAAAAAAACACATTTCTCTAAAATCAAAAAATTATCCATTTAGAGAGTAAACTACAACAACAAAAATACAGCAGATTATTGAACAGTAAAAAAAACTAATCTAATCCTATTTCTTCGTTCTTGTAAATTGTAATGGTAGGGGGTACAAGGAGACTAACAAATGAAGCTTCAATTTAACCCTCTCTTATTCATAATAATACTTTTGAGTTATTATATATATTTGTAATTTTAATAGTGAAGAAGATTATGGCCGTTACTTTTTCAACTCTAAGGCTTCTCTTCATCTGAATTCGAACAAGGAGGTCCAGGCACGGAATCCACGAAAAACTCTTCTATTCATGCAAAAAAATATATAGACAGAAATTAAAAACTAGTATAAAAAGAGATGATGTACCAAATCTAGTTCAACTGAAATGTTTCAAGACTAGTGGTTTATTATGTTCATGCAATGAGGACTAGGAGGGGAAGAAGAAGAAGAGTTGAAAGATTTTGAGATTTACCTATGTCCTCTTGTTCAGGAGAATCAAGCAAAATCTCTGAATCAGATGGAAGAAATGGAGAGCCTGGATAGTTTCCTAAGGCTCCTAAATCTGCGATATACATATCTTTATCTGGTAATCAGTTTCGTGTTGTTATATTAACAACATCAAAAAGTGAGTGAGAAGTTATACCCTCAAAATTGAAACTTACCTCCCAAATTTGACAGATCTGCGGTGAGATCAGACAGGCTAAAGTTCCAGGGGATCTGATCAAATGACCTGAGGGAATCTCCGGAATTCCCGGCTCCTCCTCCTCCACCGTCTGGTCCAACATCAGACGTGAATGCGGAATCAAGCACCGACGTGTCCATTACCATACCCGATATGTCTGAAGCAGCAAATGGAAAGTGTCCACTTGATGCCACTGAAGCTGGACTCGCTGGCATCTCAGACATCCCACCACTGTTTGGTGGAACTACTTGAGGAGTTGCATCATCCGCGGTTGTATCGATCACCATACTGAAAGAAATGGAGATTTAGGTTTAAAGACATGATGCCATTAACTGGTCAACGATCAATTTTACCCGAAAATAAGTTAAATTTAGTTCTTACTCGTTCGCTGAGTTCATCCTCATCGGTTGGAAATTCGCAGGTGCAGGGACTCCGTTAACAACATGGCAGCTTGATATTCCCATTGCATCAATATGAGGATGGCCTGGAGCATGCATTTGAGGATGTTGTAGTACAGGATATCCCATTGGCATGTTAACTGCACTGCGAAACAACAGTGTTAAATAACAGTGAAACTGAATAATAACACTTTGTAATTTTCAAATATACTATACAAGCTTTTTTCAGGTGATGTAGGGGTCCAGACTTATTACCAGGTGCCATGGGATGATGCATTCCGTTTTGCATCGGTGCTAGAGGAATTTTTGGAGGTACAGGAGGATACTTCATGAGATGGTACTGGTGCTCAAGTAAATGATTGAACAAAATTATTTGCTTCTTCAGTTTCAACCTGATATAGTAAGCCCTGAAAAAGTCGGCATTTTCTTCTTCCAATTTCTGCCAAACTGATTTCAGAAAGACAAAAAAAGGTCAGGAATGGACTTTTCATTCGATGTTTCACATTGTATAATGCTATAACTCATTCATACTTTCAACAATTCAAACATGCAATTTGTGTCCTATGAAAGCTCTCCTATTCCACTTCAGTACAGAGAATGGAGTTAAGGTAATAAGAATCTGAAATCTAAGACTGAAAGAAAGGTGATGATGCAATGAAACAAAGTGAAGAAGGAGACTTAAAGTTGAAGAGACTTCAAAAGCTTACCTAAGGTTGTAAATCCAGGGTCTATCCTTGCACGAGTCAAGAGGGTCTTCACAACCTCATCTCTGTTCATGTACAACTGAAGACATCTTTCTATCAAATTTTGGACCTACATCAATCATGTCCAAAGTGTATATCATCAGATGTTACACATATATGAGGAGATGTAAAGCCTACTTATTTTTAGTTAAAATGATGAGGAGGTCAAAGTTTTCTTACGAGTTCAATGTCTTGTCTTGAAACTTTCCTACTGTCATTGCTTGAAGCAGATACTGAACCAGAATCTTGTATTGGAGCATCTATTGATTGGTTATTTTTCTGTTCACTTTGGGACTCATGTGAAGCTTGAGTGGAAGATTGTAGCTCCTGTGCGCACTGAAATTGGGAAAAAGTTATTTTCTCATATATCACGTATTTGAACATAGTCCAACTTATTATATCAAAGTATCAACCTAGTCCACCTATCATAACGATTTATGGCTACAAGGAACCAGAAGATACTGGTTACCTCAAAAAAAGGAAGGCATCTAGTAAGCAAGGGATTGCAACAAAAATATATAGCAGAAGTTCACAAGTTTTGAACAGCGCTAAGCCAATACAACAAAGGTAAGAAAAGGTAGAAGAACCTGTCCGTTCTTCATTACTGCTGAATGTAAAATGAATGCATCCTTCAATGAGAACTGTTCTCTTTAGTAGCAAATACAACAATGTAGTCCATAAAGCTCAACGTCTTGGTCAGTGTGTTTCTAACTTTATAGACCAAAGATAAACCTGAATAACAAGGTCAAAAAAACATTTAGCCATAGGTCATAGTTTCTCTAACTACTATTATAGCTAACAGTTTCAATACTAGTAGCCCAACATTCAACTAACAGTCAAAGCACTGTTAACAAAAAAAAAAGGTTATAAAGAGAAAGCACTTTCCAGTTTCCACAAAGAATTGTTAATTATCAACAAGCATAGAAAGTGAGTCCCTCAACATTTGTTTAATAAGGTTTCAGATCCCAATTAAGCCCTCTACAGAATCTATCTAATAGTAATAAACTATTTCATAAAGTTTACACAAAAACCAAATCTAAACAAGAGAGTTCACTTCAACCATGGATCGTTTCACATTC